ATTCAAAGCTGAAAAGAAAAGACATAATGACTAAGCACATATAATTTAAAAGAAGCAAAATAGCATTAGCAAAAGGCAGACAAGGGGGGAAAACTGAGAAACAGACTTTTCAGAAGTATTCAGAAGCTATTTAACAAACCTTAAAACTTTACTGAAGAAGGGCTGACCAATTAGTTCAGTTGGTTACATCGGGGTGCTGATAACACCAAGGTCAAGGATTTAGATCGCCATGCTGGCCAGCTACCAATAAATAAATAAAACTCTACTGAAGGATATAAAAAATTTTTGATTAAATGGAAAGACACACCATTTCCGTTTGATAAGAAGACTGAATAATATGAAGTTGTTGATTCTCTGTAAACTGATCTATAAATTCAAACAAACCCAATCAAAATAACAATAGGTTTTGATGGGCAGAGGAAGGATTTGAAAAAAAGTGATACTGCAATTCATTTTGGGAAAAAAATAGGTGAAAAATCCAAGAAAATCATAAAAAACTAGTTTTATGAGGAACTATTCTTACCAGATATAAAAATGTGTATGAGAAATTTATGTTTTAAATGATTTATACTAGCACAAGACTAATACCTCTGAACAGAAGAGCCCAGGAATAGGCCCCAAAATATAAGGGAATTAATTGGATAATACACTCAGTATTCAATAAACAGCATTGAAACAACTAAAAAACATAAATAGCTACCCTGATCTTTACATTAAAATTATTCTGGAAAGATTAAAGTTTTAAATGAAACTATAAGAGTACTAGAAGAAACATGAGCAATTTAAAAATAATGATCTTCGTGTGGAAAGACCTTTCTAACCCAAATACCCAAACTCCATAATTGAAAAAAAAAAAAAAAGAGAGAAAGAAATGTGACTATGTTAAAATTAAAACTCTTCTGCAGGGGGGAAAACCTGAACAAAACAAAAAGGAAAAAATGTCTGCAACATATGCAACATTTTTTTCTTAATTCAAAGACTGTTCTTACAATTACTAATCAAATAGAAAAAGATGGCTATAGCCTAAATGCCCATCATAAGGACCTGATGAAAACTATATGGTATATCCATTTAATGTACGTTAAAAGGAATGAAAATTTACATGCACTGATATAGAATGGTCTCCAAAATATAATAAATGAAAAATGAAAGGTACAGAATAGTAGTTATGCTAATACACATATAGATACAGATATTTATTTTTCATATAAAGTATGATTATCTTTGAGCATAGAATTATTTAAAATTATTTTTATACTTTTCAGTATATCTTCCAAACTTTCTAGTGAACACATTTTACAATCAGAAGATGTAAGAAAATAATAATGTAATAACTTTCAGTGAAGCATAGTGCAAAGAAAATATATTTGATCATCTTGGTTTATATAACTGAGGAGTAAAAGATGAGAAAAACACTTGCAAACACTAACTTTTACTAACACCACTATGAGAAATAACTTCCTTATGATTATTTTTCTTTATAAATCCCTCTGTCATGCAAAGTTCAAAACCAAGAGAATTTATATTAATGTGTTCCTGAAAATTCTTAATTCTATGTTACTTTATCCAAGTGGTAAAATTTTGCAATGTACTATCACATAATAAATAAGTCACATTTTAGAGCAAAATAATGACATATCTGGTGCAAGTTGACTTAACCCCTTCCTGCTGTAAGCCGGAAGCAAAGCAAACTGAATTGGTTCTTCCAGTATATTTTTTTCCCAAGTAAATGCTAGCTTCAGTGAAGAGTCCTGATCATTTTCAGTCACTCTCTAATAGCTATATGACATAAAGACATCATAAGAACTAAACTACATAGTAATGAATATAAACGCTTTAGAGAACTTGCTGTTCTACATCTCTTGAAGAAATGTATACTTCCAAACGCTATGTGTTTTAATACATTAACATTCCATTTTTTTTTGACATTTTAAAACTATACTCCACAAAAACACAAAACATACAATTTTAAGTAATGCATAATAGTGCTGAAGTTATTATACTGAAGGTTACACGCTCTGCTTCACCAAATCATATTGTTTTCAGAAGTTCAAAGTATTTTCCAGATCTTTTAAAACTCAGCTTTCTCATCTCAAATACTGTAGTTGGGGTCACGATCTCAGTGGGCGTTTCAGTTTGCTCTCATACTAGGTTTGCACAGACTCTCATGTTTTGGGTAATTCTCATCTTTGATTTAGAAAGGTATGTTAAGTTCCAGCAATTACGAAGTCATAAAAAAATGACTATTTTCCCCCATGGGCTTCACTTTCAAGCACTGTAACATTGCAAGAGAAATAAAGAACTAAAAGAAATAAATGGCTTTGGGAACTTGTTCGGTTTGGGTTAGAGTGTTCCATTTAAAATGCGATTACCTTGGCTTTTAGAGAGGTGTTCTTCATTTCCCTCTGATCTACCTGACATCCTTTGCAAACATCGATTTTTGAACATTTAAAGAGAAAGGGGTCAAGAAACTTCATTTTAACATTAGCTCCTATCCTCTTTACCACATTAGACTTGAAATATTCGTTTTGTTCAAATGACATATAAATGTACAACTTTATGAAGTCAGGATATACTCAGTACTTCAAAGTTGTTTTGGGGGGGGGGGTGTTTTTTGTTCTTTGGGGGTTTTTTTCTAAATTCTTTTTCTCCTTTCCACTGTTTGCCCTTCTTTTTCTCAACTTTACCAGTCGTCTCAGAATCTGGATCCTCATCACTTTCACGACGTTCCGCTTGTAATCTGTAGGCACAACCCCACGTTGTCCGCATACATGAGCCGCTGGGCTCAAACACCTCATCATTGAGCATTTATGCTTTTTAAAACACAATTCCTGATGAAATTCGGTTTCTATTTATCATAGTCCCTGAAGCTTTTAGAGGACAAATACACCGGTATCGAAAGACGTTGCGCGCAACCTCCAGGACCCTCGCACTCTGGGCGGCAGAGTGAGGTACTTGCATCATTTGACGGTGTTTTCAATTTCTTCACTCAGCTCAAGTTTCTTGCATTATCTCTTCTTCAGCATCTGCTGCTGCTGCTTACGAGTCCCTTGTTACCTGAGTCTGCCATATTAAACGAAAAGAGCAAAGGTTTAGAGTGACTACTAGTCGCCCAACTCAGGACAGGAATGAATTCATTAATTAGGAGGTGGCGGCGACTGCAGAGAAAGAGGAGGAGGTGGCGGCGACCTCTTCTGTTGGGCTGGGGGCAGCCGGCCTCAGTTTTGAGTCACAGAGAAAGGAAAAGCTCATTAGAAGGAATACGCAGAAAACCCTATTAAGCACTTCTCACGCCCCCCACCCCTTGCCGATTATCTTCGGTCCTGGCCGGCGTCTCCTTCTGACATCATTCATTGGCTGAGCGGTGTGATGGACAAACATCCAGCCCAATGAATGTGCCGGCACAACGGGTTTCCCGCCTCTACTCACCATTCTCAACCTGAGAGAGGGTTGAAGCATCCAGCAGAGACAGCCTGCATTTCCGGAATCCTAACTTTACTAATGCATAAATCCTTAGCACCTGTCTCCCTCCCCAGTTCCTAGGTTTAAACTTAAAAGTTAAAAATAGTCGTAGCAGTAAGCTCTTTCCAATTAGCTTCTCTTACACCCGCCCAACTTGAAGTCAACTTTGGTTTTTGACAAGAATTTATGATAAAACCTTATCAAGAGACGGGCTGGGAGAAAATACACCAATGTAAAAACAGGGCATATCTTAGTGTAGTGTGCCTCTGAGTGACTACTTTTTGTGTTTCTGCTTCTATTTTTCAACTATTCTATAATGGCATGTGTTCCTTTAATATGGAAACTGCAGACAGGGGAGGTGCTAAATACTTTGGTAAGAGTTTTAAGATGCAATAAGGGTATTGGATTCCATGTAGAAGTTTTAAGTGTTCTGCTATTTGTGATGTTTGGCAAGCACAGCATATATTCAATTTGGAGACCTACACAGCCATAAGCCATGTACATCATATCTATTATAGTCTGTTTTGGCTCTGGCATATAAGTAAATCTGCCATATCCATTCTTGATGGATGCAGAAATTTCGGAGTTAAAACAGAGGCACCCTCAAAAGTGTAGTGGTATGGCTAAAAGCAATAGTTTGCTTCCTGATGTTGCATAAATCACAGACAACCTAAATATCCAAACACACATGACTGGTTAAATATAGTAAGGTCATGGGTTGTAATAGTTTTACATTTTATATACTGGGGGGCGGGGGGCTATTGTCAAGCAAGATACTAAACTATATATGGTGAGACTTGGGAAGACTATTAGGTAATTTTATGCCTAAGACCCAGAAATTCTCAAATCCTGTATTCATTCTACTACAGTTCCTTCCTGTAAGGTATTAATGGAAAATATATGTGGGCCAGGAAATGGCAAATGCGATATAGGATAGCACTTTATTATTTGCTGTGCTTGTGCCTTTATGCCAAGTGCAAAGCTCTCTGGTAAACTGAGTTTAAGGGGCCTCTTCTTTACACTAATCTCAGCCCAAACTCTGAGGATCTAATTACCCTGAGACCAGCTGCATGGTGCAGGAGACGTGAGATCATGAAGTCACCTGTAAGAGAAAATGAGCCATGGTAGTGTGACCTCCTCCCAAGCCAAGGTGGAGGGTGAACAGGGGCATGTAAAAACAGCTTATATAGATGGCCTTTCAGGGTGAGGGCACTCCTGCCCTTCTCCCCCACCCCTATCCAGTCCCCTTCTCCCAGCCCCTCCCCCTCTCATTCCTTCCATTTCTCACCCTTCTCCCCACCCTCTTCTCCTCCCTCCTCTACTTTGACTTTCCTTCTTTTCCCCTCTTCTCCCTCCCTTGTCCTCTTCCTCCTCCCCTGTCCCATTTCTCTCGAATAACTTACATGTGTAGAAGAGCTAAGATCTGGGAAATATATCAGAATGTTAATAATAGTTATCTTTTTTTGAATTTTCTTTTTTCCCAATATTCTCTACTTTTTTCTAAAACACATTTTTTATAATTAGAAGGAAATGCAAGATTTTTATAGCATGACACACTTTATTTGACATTTATTTATTTTAGGTTGCAGTAAAAGAACATAAAAAAAGTATCAAATTATGTAAAGTGATCACTTTCAGTGAAAGGCAAAGTAGAACATATTACAATAAAAATGTGGTATCTTCAGTTTACAATTACACACTATAAGGAAACTTTTCTTAAAATACTAAGTCATATTAACACCGTAGTGGTAAACAATATTATGACTAAATTTATAGACCACTATGTAACATAAACAAGCTCACAGTTGTATCAAATGTGATCTTGACAGACATTCTTAAATGTATGCTAATCTTTTTTTCAAGCAGTCCAGTTTCAGAATGCACAGTTTTCGTTAGTATAAGTACTGTATTTCTACAGCAAAGTAATCAAGTAATAAAGGCACAGCTAGTGCAAGAAGATTTAAACCCTTAGTCTTCTGGGCTGGAAAAAGAAAAAGAAAAAAAAAAAAAAAAAAAAACACCAAAAAACACTTGCATTGGTACTTCAGGAACTTTGTTTTTTTCCAAGCAAATATTTGTTTCAGTTAACAATTCTGACAGTTTTCACAGCTAAAATCTAATAGGAACATGACAAAAGGACTTCACAAAAATCAACACTCTGTAGTACCAAACTAACATGCTTTAGATAATGGACAGCAGTTTACATATTTTGAAGAATGTTACACTACAAAAGGCTAGATAGAATAAACTGATACCCAGACACTTTTTAAGATGATTTTTTTAAACAAAGTACCGAAAGAATATGAAAACACAAGACTGTAAGGAATGTTCAGGTTATATGGCAGGTTTTCTTTCTTTTCTTTTTTCAAGGCTATATGAACCTGCTTCACTTCTGCTTGAATTTTTAAGATCCTTAAAAATCTTTCAGACAGCTTCTTTTGTATGTTCAGTATTTCCTGTTTCCATAATCTCTGCCATCCTGATAGTAGGTATTGTTGACTTCTCCTGTATAGTAATAGATTGACTTCAGGATGACATTATCATGTAAAATTTGACCAATTTCATAGTCCTCATCAAGGATAGCATCTTCTCGTGGCTCCAGCTTTCCAATCTTAGGAATCTCAGGAGGACTAAAGAAATTGAAGAATGATGCATTAGGAACTACTCTTGGCTGGATTTCAATTTCTCCAGTAGCAGTTTTGCGGCTCTGGGTGGTTGTCACAGTAACATCCTTTCCCCTTCTCCAATCTATCTTGCAGCCTTTGCAATCTTCAATTTCCCATCCCCAAGAGAAGAAGGGATCATTGTGATCTGGTTTGGACTTTATTTTGTATGTCTTCATCAGCACCTCATTTCTGAAGTATGGATTGGGTAGAAAATGAAATTCAAAGGTGTAACTTATAGGCTGGCCAGGTTTTGAGAACTTCAGGCTGACATCGGACAAGAACTTCAGAATGGGCTCATCATACTTCTGAATCATAGGCCCAAGCTTGTCAACATTCTTTAAAACAATCATCCAATAGTTAGGAATGCCTTTAGGATCTTCTCTTTTAGGCTTTCCCTTCCGAGCTCTTTTAAGATTCACTCTTTCTTTAAGACTTTCCTCAGGAACTCTTTTATGAGCCTCTCTTATTGCACCCCCTGCCTTAGCCTCTGTTGCTTTAGGCTGTTCTTTACCAGCCTTTCCCTGGGGGACTTCTTTGGGATCTTATTTTACCTCAGGCGTTACCTCCATCCAATCAATATAATCAGCATTTTCCCTAGCATTTTCTTGAGGAACCTCCTTTTCTTCAGCCTTTACCTCCGGTTTTTCTTTGGGGGCTGTTTCTTCCTCACTCTCTAAGGGAGGCACTTCACTGGGGATGTCATCCTGAACCTTCTCATCATTGCTGAACTCCTCATCCTCTGAATTCCATTCACATTCTTCTTCTGTGGGCTCATATTCTGCACTGATGATTTGAAATCGCTTATCATATAGAGGCTTATTGAGTTCAGCATATTTTCGTTCAAGATCATGAATTGCCTTTAAGAACAGGGCGTCTACCTTGTCACATTCATCTTGAATATTTCTGAGCGCCTGCACGCGATTTCTAACTGCCTGAGGCAGCCTATCCACGAAATTTGTACACGACGGAGCCCGCCGCGCCCTTCTGGAAGGCTCAGGCACCCTCCTCTTTCTATATATGCAGCTGCAACTACTGCTGCTGCCGCTGCTGCTGCAACTAGTGCTGCTGCTAGAGCTACTGCTGTCAGAGTCTTCCCCGGAATCACTAGCCGAATTAGCCATCTCCTCTTCAGCCACCCCCTGGGCGGCAGGTTCCAAAACCATTTTAAAATTTGCTTCTGCCATGTCGCAAGCCCGCAAACCTCTTAAAGTGGTGCCTCCCGCAGAGACCGCGCGCCCGGAGATGGGCAGAAAATGACTCACGGATGCTTGAGTGGCGGCGGCGGAGGTCCGGGCGCTGAGGTGTCAGCAACAGCTCAGGGCGGGGCGATGGCAGTGTCAGTAGAGGCCTGACCGAGAGCAGCTGCGATAAGGCCTCTCTTTGCTGCAGCGGCGAAGGACCGAGGCGTGCCGCAGCCGAATGGCGAAGTACGAGACCCCAGTATCTCTTCTCGGTTTAGACCGCGAGCCCCCTCCCCTTGCAATCAGACCTTCAGTTAATTTGGTTCCCAGTGTGCCTTTAGTTCGCTCCTCATTTGCTGGACGAGCTTGATTGATAAACCCTGCGACCAATGAATGGCCAAAAGCCACGGGCTCCCCCCCCGGCTCCGCCCACCTTCCCAGACGCTCCTTGGTGACTGAAGCACACACCCGTGGAAGGCGGTTTTTTTCCCCTCAAAATTTTATCTTTATAGTTTTATAATTCAAAAAAAGCGTATACATGAGGTAAAAATACCAGGCCTAGTTCCTAACGAGGGAAGAAGAGGAAGTGTCTTCCTTCTCCCATTCGCCCATCCTGAATTCCCGTTTGGTTTTTCACGGGCCTCTTGACAAAAACCTGTTTTTTAAAAAATTGGATGAAAATGCTCTAAATGGCGTCATTGGGTAGTGTGACTGGATGATTCGGGGGAAAAAAAAAAAAGATTTTCTCTGAATATTCTATGAGCATGTATTTTTACATTGGGAAGAAAAGGGGAGTCGTTTATTGGCAGAGGGGGGAGGGGCTAGAGAGCAGGCATATTGCATTCCACGTAGCAGATTTAATAAGTGCTGTCTGTGATGTTTGGCAAGCCTGGTTTATATCCATCTACAAGGTTTGCGAACCCATGTTGCCGTGAGTCAGTTACAGCATTTTTATTATGTTTCTCTTTTTAAGCTGGCATATAATATTACCCCAACCTTGCTGCTATCTTGCCACGTAGCCCTTCTCACTTCTTGTAACAACAACCTTTTAGATAAAACAAAGGGGTATTAAAATGTTAGGTAGAATTATTAAAAAGCAGACTGTTTTATATGTTTTATACTTTTGTGCAGCAGGTTTCTATTTCACGAACAGCAGGATGGGAGGGGGGATTTGTGCTAATGAAAGTGCATCCTCTGTCAGTGTATACGATGTCATCTGTCACCAATTTCCTTCTAATTTGTAAAATTCTAGTCATACTAACGTATGATTTACAAGTCCAGTAATATGTGAATAAACTTTTGCAAAATGAAGTTTAAAAACAGGTATTTGCTATTTTTATTTACAGGATCCTTTTCTGCTACAGAACAACTCCCTTGGTACAACCAAAAAAGACCAGTGTTTACTTTTCATTGAAAGGTAAGGAACATATTTAGCCCATTTTTATGAATGGCTAGAATTACCCATCTGTATTTGAATAAAAATTCACAGTATATAGTCTTTTAGAGATTTAATTGGAGGATATCCTGATATTTCTATGGAAGCAGAAACATCCACAGAAGTGATTTGGCATACTAATGTAGAATATAACTTATTTAACCACATTTACTACCTAAACCTGATCATAGAATACAAGTAGTAAATTAAAATATAAAGTATGGTAAATTGTTTATTTCAAATGAGGAAAGATATTAAAGTTACATTTACCTTTATGCTACTTTTTAATTATAGGATGTTTGCTTTGTCATTTAGTCACATATTTTTAAAAGTTAGGAAGCACTTTTCTATTTTGTAAATGAATTTACTTTTATTGTTTATCTCTGATTGCCAAAGTATATGAATGTTGTAAAGTATAGAAAACTCCAGTATAGAAAATTCCATTGATAGTAAAAACACACAATCTTAACAATCAAATAATAATCATTGCTAGCATTTTGATGCATTTCCTTCCAGAAATTTCCTTGTGCCTATATACACCTGCCTATTTATGTATACTGTTTTATCTATGTGACATCATATTTTTGTAATCTGCTCATTTAATTTATCAATTAATTACGACTATTTTTATGGCAAATAATCAACGTCTTATTTTTAAATAGATACTAATTTCATGGAAATAATTGCCATAATTTATTTAACCAAATTCCTGTTGCAGGACAGCCATTTCCACACCATCTCTTCCCTTACATACACACTTTTTTCTTGTTATAAAAACATTGGCCCTGCATACCTAGAGTATGTATCTCTATGCACTTGTGAAAATTAGTCATAGGATAAATTCCGGAAATGGGGGTGCTAGGCTACATTGTATGCTCATTTTATTATTTCGTACATATTGCCAGACTCTCTCCAGAAAGGTTATCACAATTTACAGTTCCACCAACAGTGCATAAGAGTTCATTTATTCAGTCATTCAACTAATATATTTTTGTGCCAGTCACGTGTGATAGAGGATGGCAATATAATGATGAATAAAACACTGGGTTTCATAATTTTGGTCAAAACATATACTATAGAAAGAGTGATTTAAGTCCCTGGGGTTATACTATAAATATTGTTCTCCAACTTACTATTTTCATTTAAAATAATGAACATATATTTTACAATGAATGCTGTTACAGTTTTATAGTAACTTTCATGGTTTCATGTACATGTTAAACTTTGTACCATCAGGAATTAGAATTTTGGAGTCAACAAAGAGTTAGGTATCCAGATTTTTTTAAAAGTTATTTTATTAGCTAGCTAATTCTACTACCATTTATTTGATAATCTTTCTGTCCCATACTTATTTGAAATGCCACCTTTATCATATTAACTAAATTGCTCAGGTATGTTTCTAAATTCTCTTTTCTGATCCACTGGCCAGACTTTTTCTGCAAACAACTAATGAGGCAGTTTTAAAATAACTTTATATTTTGAGAAAATTATATACATTCATTGAGAAAAGTCTGACAGTACATTGAAATACAAAGAAGAAACTAAAAGTAACTCAAAATATACTGAGAGGTAATCACTATTCTTATTTTTAATGAACATCTCCAAATTAATTTCTCAGTATTATGTATTTGTATTTCCTAGATTGGTGGTAAGATTGAATGTCTTTTCATATGTTTATTGTTCATTTGAGAATTGTTTATTTATGTCCTTTGCTTGCGTTCCACTGAATTAAGAAAGAAATTAATCGGTGGTGAAATCCTAAAGGTAAAATCATTTTGGCCTTGATTTAAGGCAACTGTGACTCTTTTAGAAAATACCTCTTTCAAAGTTATGATATTGGGCAAATGTGACTCAATTAAAGCTTTCATTATAAAATTATGTACTTGAAGGGTTTCTGGATGCTTTGCAAGGATTAGTACTTAATTACTCACACTGATACTGGAAAAGTTTGGAGTGGAACATGGCGAAGAAAAAGAAAACAGCTTCTAAAAGCCTCATACAAAAATAGTATGTTAATTAACTTGTGATTTTCAGTTTGCAAGTATTTTTTCCCTAACTATAGACTATAAAAATAGTTGAAAGTAGGTAACTTTTTCCAATCACAATACTCTACTTTTGATGTGTATACACTGCCTTAGGTATCTCGTAACATACTTTTTTTTTTTTTTTTTTTTTTTTTTTTTTCTTTTTTTTTTTTTTTTTTTTTTTTTTTACCTTTTTTTGTCTCTTAGTTTATTTAATTTTATGTAGTAGGTCTCTGAAAGAAAATAAGGTTTTTCTTCATATAATCAATTTAATTTTGCATTATACCAAATATTTTCTACTGTGAATATATTTGTATTAGTTCTAACATGTATACTTATTTTTTTAAAAGATTATATATAAATTACTTGCATAGTGATATGTTCTCTGTTCCATTATTTTATGATATTTTGGGGGCTAAATGTTCATGCTTCTACATGAGATGGTGCTTAACAAAGAATCTGTTAGTATACTCAGGCTGAACATAGCTCTTTGACATCTGTTTACACCTTCTCTGATATGAACATATACACAATACCTTATACCACCCACCTTGCAACACAAACACACGTACAAAGTATACAATGACAGGTGTAGCAGCATTATCTTTTATTACAGATATTTAAGAAGCCAAGCATTCAAAGTTCACTTATTTTTGAACTTTGTTTCTTCTTTGTTTTTGTTGTTTTGTTTATCTAGACAGGTTTTATCTGAATACACAAGTTAATTCTTTTTAAAAAACAATTTCATTGAAGTATAGTAGACACGGTAACTGCACATGAAGTACAGAAGTTTATAAGTTTTGATAAATGTATATACCTGTGAAAGCATCACCACAGTCAAGATAATGAAAATTTTTATCTCCCCTAAATGTTTTCTCATGCTCCTTTGAATCCCTTTCCTTGTCCCTAGGCAATCACTGATCTATTTTCTGTTCCTGTAGATTAATTTGCATTTTCTAGAATTTTTTATAAATGGAATCATGCAATATTCCCTTGTTTTCACCTGACTTATTTCTCTAGCATAATTATTTTGAGATTTATCCATGTTTTGTATATCAAGAGGGTTTTTTTTTTTTTTTTTTTTTTTTGTATTTGTTTCTGAGTAGTAATCCATTACTTGGAAATTTTACAACTTGTCGATGGTTGTTTGTGGTGTTTTGAGTTTCAGGCTACTGCTAAATAAAGCTACTTATATGCAAATGATCATTTGTATACAAGTCTTTGTATGGACATATGTTTTCATTTCTTTTAGAAAAATACCTGAGAGTGGAATGACTACATCACATGGTAGGTGTATGTTTAACTTTTTAAGAAATTACCTATTTCTCAACGTGGTTGTTTTGCATTTCTACCAACAGTGCCAACACTTGGTATGGTCGAATCTTTTTAAATTTAGCCATTCTAATAGTATGTAGTGGTATCTCATTGTGGTTTTAATTGGCATTTCCCTAATGACTAATGATGATGAGCATCTTTTCATGTGCTGATTTGCCATCTACATATCTTCTTTAGTGAAGTGTCTATTTATATTTTGCCCATTTTTTATTTTATTTTATTATTTTTTCCTTTGTTATAATTTTAATCATTATATAACATTGAACCCAATTCAGTTCCTGCTTCTAGGAACTATTGTTGGGTCAAAATATGAGCCATATCACTGGAGTGCCCAAATTGAGGTATCAGGTCAATAAGAACACACCTAATCCATACTAACTAAAGATCTACACTGTACTAAGGGCTGTCATGTCAATCCTCAACAAACTTGCAGTCTAAAACAAACAAACAGAAGTACAAAAATAACTTATTTAGCCCATTTTTTAGAAGTTGGATTGTTAATTGTTTTACTTTTAAGTGTTGACAGTTCTTTATATACTCTGAATACAAGTCCTTTATCAGATATAACCTCTGCAAATATTTCTCCCCCTCTGGATTTTGTTTGCATTCTCTCAACTTTGTCTCTCACTGTTTTCAAAGAACAGAAGTTTATAATCTCGATGAATTCCAATTTATCTTTTTTTCTTCTTCTATGGACCATGCTTTTGTTGTTGTCTCTGAGAAATCTTTGCCTAACCAAGGTCACAAAGATTTTCTGTGTTTTTTCTAGAAGTTTTATACTTTTGGGTTTCATATTTAGGTCTGATACATTTTTGTATATGGCACAAGGTATGGACTGAAACTTATTTTTTGTATATGGATATCCAATTGTTCCAGCAACATTTGTCTAAAAGACTGTCCTTTCTCCACTGAATTCCCTTTGCACATTCATCAAAAATTAGTCATCTATATATGTGTTGGTCTATGTTGGACTCTCTACTCTGTTCCATTGTGTACTAATTTTAATCACCTAATTGGTAGCTATCCATTTTGTTAGATATATTTGGGAGGGAATGAAAACCAAATTGTGGAATAACAGAATTTCATTACAGTGGAGACAGTTACAGCAGCTAGATCTTCATCCTCTGCCTTTTACTTCTGGACCCAAATATCTAAAAGATAGAGGCAGGTAACTGCAGTAGAAACCTAGAAAAAAAGTCAAAACAAGAAACATAAATGTTCTATTTTGTAGAGTTGCCAGTATGTAGTTATCTACAGCCCAGCCACTGGAATGGTAGTTAGCATTATTCAGAACTGCAAATAATGCGTTTGATTTTCTCACATCTGATAAGACAGATCTGTTTGCTAAACTAGAAATAGGAAGCATTTTCAAGCTGTTAATAAATTATAGTTTTAAAAGAATAGTAATAAAACATTGGTTGTTATTATTTCACACTAAGGTTTCAAAGTAAAAAATATTTCATTTTATACTCATTCCTATACTAAGGATCCACTCAAATGTACAGAATATGGTTTGTAGCTATTGCTTTTGATTTTTTAAAGGAAATATTTGAGAATTATATTTCTGGCATTATAGCCTTAACTCCATGGAGTTTAAAATGACAGTTACAATTAATGCAGTGGCAGATAAGAAAAATCAATTACTAATTTGGATATTTGATATAACGTTAGTTTTTGACATTTATTAATTGACAAGTAAAAATTATATATATTTATGGTATATAACATGATGTTTTGATATATATATACATTGTGGAATGGCTAAATCAAATTTTTTAACATATGCATTACCTCACATACTTATTTTCTTGTGGTAAGAACACTTAAAATCTATTCTCTCAGCAATTTTCAAGAATACGATATATTGTTATTAACCATAATCACCATGATGTACAACAGACCTCTTGAACTTATTTCTCCTGTCTAACTGAAAACTTGTGTTCTTTGACCAACATCTCTCCTATTCCCCTGCCCTCTCCGTTCCCCCCACCCCAACCCCTGCCACACTTGCTTCAGCCTTTGGTAAACACCATTTTACTCTCTATTTCTATGAGTTGAACTTTTTTACACTCCACAAATAAGTGAGATCATATAGTATTTGTCTTTCTGTGCCTTACTATTACACTTAGCATAAAGTCCTCCAGATTCATTCACGTTGTCACAAATAACAGGATTCCGTTCTTTTTAAAGGCTGAATAGCATTCTATTTTGTATATATATATATATATATATATATATATCACATTTTCCTTATCCATTTATCCGTTGATGGATGCTTATGTTGATTCCATATCTTGACTATTGTAAATAATGCTGCATTGAACATGGGAGAGCAGATATCTGTTTGACATACTGATTTCCTATCCTTTGAATATATACCCAGTAGTGAGATTGCTGGATCATACGGTAGTTCTATTTTTAATTTTTTGAAGAACCTTCATACTTTTTTCCATAATGGCTGTACTAATTTACATGTCCACCAGCAGTGTACAAGGGTTCCCTTTTCTCCACATCCTCGCCAAAAGTTGTTATCTTTTGTCTTTTTGATATTAGCCATTCTAACACGTGTGAGGTGATATCACATTGTGGTTTTATTTAGCATTTTCCTGACCATTAGTGATGTGGAGGACTTTTTCCATCCATATATATACCTGTCTTGTTTTGAAAAATGTCTATTCAGGTCTTTTTCCACATTTAAAATACTATTGAGTTGAGTTCCTTATATATTTTGGATATTAACCCTTTATCAGATGTATGGTTTGCAAATTTATTCTCCCATTCCATAGGTTGCCTCTTCACTCTATTGGTTGTTTACTTTGCTGTGCATGAGTTTTTTAATTTGTTATAATCCTATTTGTCTACTTTGCTTTTGTTGCTAATGCTTGTTTTCAACTTAAAAATAGTATACATGGGTCAAATGTATAAAACCACATCACAGAGGAACACTTTTTACAAGGGTACTCAAGAATCTTTTGCTTTTAGTACTCATCTGAAGAATTCCTACACTAAAATTCAAATAAAGCAAACATTTTTATTACAAGTTTGGAAGCATTTTATTTAATTCTACTAAAAAGGGAGAACAAATTTAAAGTTTTTGAATAGTGAGCAATGTTCATGTATATAGTACTGTGATAGCTATTTCCAAATTTTGCAATTTATTTGGACAAAGTAGAAGCCCAAATTGACCCTTACTGCCTGTTTTCTTGCAGAATACCTAAATATATATAATTAATTTTATTAGATGCCTAATGTGAGGAAAAATTAATCTTGTGGTACTGCAAGTATTCCTGATGGTGGGAACAAATACATGTCCCACAACTCTTCAGAGGTGATGGTCATTTTTGTACCAAATGACATATATACACTTCACAAAACCCTTTCTTAGAGGTGAAAAGAGGAGAATCCCCAAAATAGTCGAGTATCAATATTTGATTTCCTTAGTGAGACATTGTAATATAATTGATTTTAGAACAGGTTCTTGAGTCAGAATTGCTGGGCTTGAATCTTGGTTTTTCCTCTCATTAGCTCTATTAGATATTGGGCAGTTTATTTCACTTTTACTGCCTCTGTTTCTCCTTTCTAAAATGGAGCTAATAATGGCACAAAAAATACATATGCAATATTGTTTGTTGTTTTTCATATTGTTTACCAAGATTGTTTGTAAAGAAACCTTTCTTGTTATATAGTCTCAAACTACTCATATCATGTCCTTCTGCCTGTGCTGTGACTTGTTTTAGAAGCAGCTAGGAATCTACAAATAGGTGTCTTCCAACTCTAGTTTGCACAATGGTGTAAATTTCATAACTGTTGGCAACTCCTTGTTATTAATAATAACATTAGGTGCTGATAGTTCTAAGGTCAAATAGCTGCTCATCCTGCTTGGCATTATCTGCCTAAAGAATGTCTCCTGGTACTTCAAAGAAAAAAAAATACATTTTTAAGTAAAATGTCTGAAGAGGTATTGTTTTAATATTTTATACGACACACAGCCCCCTTTCTTCATCAAGAACCTTTAAACCTCCTGACAGCCCTAGATTATGCAATCTTTATTACTTAAACCTCAAACTCATTGTATCACATATTTATTTTTGATCTCATTTGTTTTTATTCATTTATGAAGCTGCAAAGTGTAACACTTCTATACAATTAACTTATTATATATTAAACTATAATAACCCCAAATTTGTTAAGTAATGATTCCTGTTCTTGATGTCAATAGCCTTTTTTTTTTTTTCTTTTTATGTATGGGTTAAATTTAGGGTACTATGCATTGTGACTTAATTTTGAATACTCACCCTATACTTTAGATTTTCTTTTTTCTTTTCCATCACTCAGTGTAATGGCCTCAAACTTAATAGCTGTGTGAAAATCTTGTCTTTGTTGGAGGTGGAAGGGATTCAGAGATAATCTAGTCTAATCTCCTTATACACACTGGAGAAAGTAAGACTTTCACTACTCATGGACATGCTGAGTGTTTCCAGGTATTCGTCACTACAAATAATTCTGCACTTACCATACTTTTATATGTATTATTATGAATTTAAAAAGATTTTCATAAATGGTACGGATTTTGGTTTAGGGTCAGATTAAGGAATAAGTGAAGATTTTTCAGATCCTCTAATAAGAGATTATTATCCTAATCGTTATGTAGTAAGTAGCTGTCACTGAATAACAACTAAATTTCTTTATCTCTTTCTTTGTAGCACTGAACCAAGTGCTTTGATTTTACTATTTTATTTTAATGAACCCATTGAGAGGTTCGTTATCGTCCTCATACCATCTTATATAATATTCTCATCATATCATCCTTAGTATCCTTATTGAGGATACCAAGTGAATATCATGCTCAAGGTCACATAGTTTATATTCGGTAGAGCCCAGATGTGAAATCAGATGGCGGACTCCAGATGCTGAGTTCTTAACCACTCTGCTATATTATCTTTAATGAACAA